ATTTACTGATTTCATCAGAAGGGAAATAAGAAAGAGGAACAAGACTGGTTAGGAGTAAAGTGACTGATCACAGCCCTTTTCTTTTGGAGGAATAGTATCTGTTATGGATTAACATCAACTTAGAGCAGTTTCGGAGCTTTACAATTTAGTTTTCTTTTTAGTGGCTGCATTATCAACTGTGATGCCTAGGCTATTAGTGTTATAGGACTTAACACCCCCATTGTAAATGTTTTATTGTATCTATAATAATTTAAGCTACTTTTATCTTTGAAAATTTCTTACCCCAGTAATATGTCATTGTAGGTCTAAATACAAATGAGAAAAATGAAAAAATTAAAATCAACTAATAAGCTCAGGGGCCAGAAATAACTGCCATTGAAATTTGGGCTTACATGTTTCTAGTCTCAATATTATATATCTGTGTACCATCCCTAAATAACCTGCCCTCATGTGTCTCCTTAAATTCTGAGTATATTCACTTAATTGTGAATTTCCTTCATGTCATTAAATGTGTATCTTCACTATAATTTTTAAGAATATACATACACACACACAGTGGGGAAAAAGTAGATTACAGATGTGAGTAGGCAAAACAGTTTGTTCTTGTATTATTTATTATTGTATATTTCCATATAAACTATAATCCCACCTTTGCCACACACACACACACACACACACACACATATGTATTCATCATTTATTTATCCACTCCCCTATTGTTGGACATTAAGGATGTTTTAAAATTTTCACTATTCTAAGTAATTATATGAGGAACATACTTGGCTATATATCTGTTAATCAGTATAAATTTCTAGAAATGGTATTTAAAAGGAGGTGTATATTTGTAAGGCTTTGGCTATATATATTTTGTAATGTATTTCAATATAATTATAAACTCACAAGAAGTTGCAAAAATGGTAGAGAAAAGACACTTAAAGCTTTCATCAATCTTTCCCCAATAATAACATCTTATATAACTATACTGTATTATAAAAAACAGGAAATTGACATTGATACAATATAATAACTAGACTACAAACATTACTTGGGTTCAACCAGCTGAATTACATTTTAATACTAATAGAATGGTAAGATGCATTCTTACTCTTCTGCTCTGTCCTCTGACACAACTGCCTTTAGAACTCCCTTCTAATCTTCCAGAGAGAAAAAATACTACTGTATTTCTTAGATTATTGCCTTTTATTGAAAAGCAAAAGGAAGAAGTGCAAGTAAGAATCTCATCAGATGCAGAGGTGGTGAACCACCATTTATGGAACAGAAAGTGAGTAGGGTCTCCCCTCCTTTTGGTTCTTCACTGTCACCTCAGTTCCTTTATGACACACCACAAGAGTCTCCCAGAGCCTGGGGTGCCCCAACACAAAAGAAAGAACACAGAATCACACAAGGGAAAGTCATGCATTTCTCCTTCATTCCTCTGATTATATCAAGCCTCAGCTAAGGGCTAGTCTTTAACGCTCCTCTAACCTTTGCTAATCCCCTCTTTCTACCGATCACTCAGGCCTCAAGTTGAGATCTAGACAGGCTACAGGTTGAACTGGATTTCAATGACATTTTATTGTTTTAATTAAATGTGTATTTACTTTTGCCTTCAAATTATGGCAAATGAAACTGATTTTCCATTTACAGAGGTACATCTGCCCAGAGACAATTTTTAAGAACATAATTTATTTGCTTATAAAACAATTTGAAATCATTTATTAAGCATCAGCCACATACCAGTCATTGTGTTAGATATGGGGGATAGAGCAGTGATAAGACACACACACTTTGTATTCTCAGAGCTTACAGTCTATTTGGGAGAATCAGTCATTAAATCAATTATTAAAACATAATTACTGATTTACCATTGTAATACCTGGTATGAAGGAGAAGGGTAGGATGATCAACTTTCTAGTCACGAGAATCAAGGAAGGCTTCCCTGAGGAATTGGCATTTAAGCAAAAACTCACAGAGGAAGGGGTGAAGAAAACAAAGGCATGCTAAGGGGAGAGACTAGGAAGAGAGGAGGAGGAAGGGTATAACTAGAAAATATATTGCACACAGAAGGAAGAGCATGAACAAATACCCTGTGACAGAAAAACTTTAACTGTCCTGAGTAAAGAAAGCAATCCGGTGGGACTGGAGTAGATGAGAGAGGGGAGAAGTGGGGTAAGTCAAGGCAGGAGAGGTGGGCAGGAGCCAGATCATTTTAGACCTGCTAGTTGAGAACAGGATTATATCCTGTGGTCAATGGGAACCTATTGTAGGTTTTGAACAGGAAAACAATATAATCAGATTTTCTTTTTCTTTTCTTTCTTTTTTTAACATAAATCAAGATATACTTATAAATACAAGTGGCAGAATCTCATAAAGGTCACACAGGTATTTTTTTAAGTATAGTGTATAATCACTATGGAACAGTACAAATATAAACAGGAGTGTTGATGGGGTGGGAGCAGTGGGGTGGGGAGCTGAGCCTGGAACTTTGGAAGGTGTGCATAAGTCACCTTTTTGTTTGTTTTTGAGGACTAGAGGTTCATCTGATTTGACGCCAAGGTAGCATTTGGGTAAGCCAGGATAAAATCCCCATTTAAAACTCTGCCCCTTCTTCAGAAGCTTCAAAAGAAAAATTTCTCCTCCAGTTTCCACCAAGATTAACCTCATTTGTGGGTGGGCTTGAGGACCACCTACAAGGTGTGATTTGAGAAGTACTAAAAGACCACTCCTGTTCAGCATAAACTGTCTCTGTCCTTCACTAATGCCTAAAGATTCTACAACCACAATTCTGTTCTGCTGAATCTTCCTGCAGTTGCCAAGTATGCCAGCACAGAGCAGCCCACTGAATCTATCCCACCTTCCTGAGACAGACCTGGGTTTTTCATTTTGTATTTTCTTAGGGGTGAGAGGGTTTAAAGCTCTCTGAGACTGCTAACCACATAGGGCATGGAAGTGCCATGAGACTGGGCAGGTTACAGAGTGAGAGTCAAAGGGGCCCAAGCTTCTTTAACTTCATCATTTTGTTTCAGGCCGGTTCTGGGAGCAGTTGGTGTATACAATGTTGACAGAGGTATAAATGTGTGTGGATTTACACAGCAAAAGTATATGGATAGATTTATGATGTGTACATGGCTTTATAACATGAGAAGCAATCATGGGAAGGAACACAGGCCTGGGACTGGACGAACCTGGGCTTAGGTCATAAGCTGTGTGACCCTAGGCATGGTACAGCCCCTATTTTATGGGCTGGTTGCGAAGATTTAGGGATAATCTGTTTCAAGTCTAGGCACTGGTCCATAGCATACAGCAAGTGCTCCATAAATGTTACTGATAAGATTACATGTGTGTGTTTGTCCTTATGCAAGCATGTATGTGCATGTAGGTGCAGATATGGTCATCTAAGGGTGTGTGTTTAAGAATGAGAGAGGAGAGGAGGGAGGATGTTGCCCACCTGAGTAGAGACAGCCCAGGGCTTCAGACTGCAAGAGGCTTCCTGAAGAGTACAGAATCTAAAAAAGTGAAGGAGACAGGCAACATAATGGGATGTGATGTTGTTGAAGCTCAAAAACCCCCACAAGAGGGAGGTTTAAAAAAAAGAGTTGAAAATAATCTCTAGAATTGACAAGTACCCAACCAAGGCTTCTGACTTGCTCCGTCCTAAAGCTTTCCCCTGTCTTGAGCTCCAGGCGTGTTTCCTTTTTCAGAGCTGATTCAGACGAACTTGGGAACACGTGAACCACCACAGACTTTTCTCAGGCCTCTTGTTCCCCTCTTCAGATTTGCCCAAGGAGGTGTATCTGAGTGCTTTCTGTGTGATGAAGATATGCCACCCTTATGTTGAGAGGGAAGATACAGTTTAAAAAAAAAAACAAACAACAACAGCCAGTTTCTAGTCCCAGTTCTGCCCTTAACTCACTGGGCAACTTCAAAATCTCTTGATCTCTCTGGGCACAAGTGCCTCCTCTATAAAAGTTGATTGGTCAATTTGGGTCATATCTTTTGACTTCCTGCCACTATCAGAGGAGATTTAGCTCCCTTCAAATAGCTCTCCTCCCCTTAAAGCGATATCACCACATGACTTAAGAGCACGGACCACCTGCCTCCCTCTCACTGTGACTCCTGGGATGAGTTATTTAATCTCTGTGTGTCTCAATTTCCTCCTTTGTAAAATGAGGGTAAAAAAGAGAGTAGTGTATCATCGGATTGTTAAAAGGATGAAATGAGTTAATAGAGGTGAAGTAATTAGAACAGTGCTTGGCACAGATAGGGCCAATAATAAATATTGTTATTATTTAGTTTATTAAATCATCTTTGTGACTTTCCATGAAATATATTATTGACAAATCAAGAAACAGACATACAAGCTTTATATGGGGCTATGAAAAGTCTCCAGACAGGAGGCAGGGGGCAGGGGGAGAACTGTTGCTTTTTCCTTTATTTTTAAAGCCCTTGTGCAAATTTTCAAGGATATGTATGTATTCTCATGACACTTTTTTTTAGTTTAAAAAGATTGAACAAAAAGGTCATCACTAAAGTCCCTCTCAGATCTCTAAATTCAAGGATTGACTGTTATTTTTAAGGAGCAGTACTTTATAGGTGGCCAGCTGGTCCTTGTTATCATAGCTACCATGAATATGGTTGACCTTTTCAAGAAATCCTATAAAGGTTAAAAATAAACAGTCACCTTCACATGTTTAGAGCTGAACGTGTTTCAATCTGTTAGATAGGAGAGAAATTTAGAAAGGTGAAAATATAAACTGTAAATACCTGGCCTGCGGGGCTGACTTATATTTCTCCCTTTATAATCTTTTCCTAAATATCAACTCAGTTGCATAAAGGAAACATCAGTCGCGGAGGCTGAACCCCAAAAAAACCTCCTGCAAAACGCTGCTGTCCTCCCAGCGGTGAAAGGGTTAACAGGGCTGGGTAAGGCGATCCCTTGAAATGAGTAAGACTCACTCGGAGTTGTTAAAGTTTTCAAAGCATCGCAGCGCAGCGGCAGTGCTGTTCTGAGAGGAAAGGAAGCAAGTCGGAGGGAGACTGGCCGAGCGGAGCAGGGGGTCGTACTGAGCCGGGGTTACAAGCTCAAGGTTGGTGGTCCACCCCACGCCTCCCCACACCTCCCCACACCTCCCCACACCTCCCCAGTGCTGACACCTTGGCAGAGTTGTGTCAGAAAAGCGAGGCGCCATCTCTCATCTTGGTGCGCCAGGAATGCTTTGCTTCCTAGTGGGGCCACCCACCCTCCTGCCGAACCTCCCCAGCTGCTGCCTTCACCCTAGCCTCGGCACTTGTAGGGGACAATTGACCTATTCCCAGGAGACTTTCCTAAACTGGAGACTTCTTTTCAGACATCCAAAAGGAAACTTTCAGGAACAGGACGACCCCCCACCCCCACCCCACCCACACACACATACCCCTGTCTACTACTTCCATCTCGGTTTTGCCCAATCTGGAATTCCTATCTACTTCAGTTGAAACTGAAAACAATTGTCAAAGTAACTAAACAGGCTGCTTGACTTTATCTTGTGGGAGGAAGATTGTCTCTGAAGCTATTGTCTCTGTCTTTGCAAATGGGTGTCTAGTAGAAGCTCTCCTTGTACCTTGCTAGAACAAAATGAAGGGAGGAGGTGCATGGTGAAGGAACTATTTCCACATCTGCAGGAGATTCAGATAAACTTATCCAGGTAAACTTATGCTGCATGTGCTGCAAATGATCAACTTGGGGAGGGAGGGATACAGATCAGCATTCTGAAGACACTTTAAGAATTGAGACTGGCCATCTGGAGGGGTACAGGACCCCCTTGGAGCCCTGGCTGGGAGGCCGCAGGCAGATGTGCCACTTCAACGTGCCCGTTTGGCCTCCCTGCTCCTGCCTTGCTCTTGGAGAGATAATGAATAATAAGTCGTCACTGTGCTGACTGCTCCTTCGGATCCTCCCGCAGGCAGGAGTCAGGACTTCTACCTGCTAGCACTAAATCAGAATGAGTCATCTGAAACTCGGGTGCTGGCACAAAGTCCTTATGAACTGCTTTATGAGACACTGCCTCCCCGTAGGTGGATATCTCTCAGAGCAGTCACATTTTGTCCCCCTCTCTTCCTTTCTCCTTCAAACAGGCAGGAATTTTGACACTCTCAAGAGAAAGGCTCTGCCCGCACAGCTCAGCTGACTCTATCTACCATGCGGACTCTGCCCCTCCGGGTCAGGACCGGGGTTTTAAAATAAGATGGATGACCTGACGTTACTTGATCTTCTGGAGTGCCCCGTGTGCTTTGAAAAGCTCGATGTCACAGCCAAGGTCCTCCCTTGCCAGCACACCTTCTGCAAACCATGTCTCCAGAGGATTTTCAAGGCCCACAAGGAGCTGAGGTGCCCTGAGTGCAGGACCCCAGTATTTTGCAGCATCGAGGCATTGCCGGCCAACCTGCTGCTCGTGCGCCTCCTGGATGGCATGCGCTCAGGGCAGAGCTCGGCGAGAGGGGGCTCCTTCCGCAGGCCAGGCCTGCTGACCTCGCAGGACGGCAGGAAAAGCAGGACTAACCCCAGAGCTCTGCAATCCAGCCCTTTCCGGCTCGTGCCTAATATCAGAATCCACATGGATGGGGTAAGAAAGATCTCATTTGTTCATCTCATGTCCACTTGGAGGTGGGATTTGTGTATGCCAGCAGTTCGGGTTTATCTCTTTCAGCTACGGTTGCAAAGAGGTGCTGCCAGGGTTCCCTGAAGACAGATTTCTGTGGTGGAATCCTGAGCCTATCCAATCCTTCCTGGGATTATTAGAATTGTTAAAGCATCCCTGTTTCTTGTGCAAAAGGTAGTCAGCTAAGGAAGCCTGCTTGCTTATATTTTTGGTCTTTCACTTCTGTTTTTCTGAGGGCAATCCAATACATAGAAAATGCATGAAGGAGGGGAATGAGAGAGAAAACAAATTCAACTGCTTGTTGCTTTGGGGGTCTCTGAGAAATTCCCAAACATCCGGTTTTGTTTGAATTTTACCAGAATCCATCTTCCCACCCCTTCCCCGACCCTGGTCATAAAGGGCTATTATGACAATATTCATTCACAATCCATTCTAAGCTATCAAGATACTTGACCTCCAGAGGTCAAGCAGGAGAGAAACATATAAGTGGGTAGACTGATAGGACAGGCTGGGCTGCAAAGTACAGCACATGTGTCTTACCTTGAAAAGTGGATAAAACACACAAAATGCACCTCAGCAGCTACAATAACAAAATGAACCTACCCAGCAGAGCCATATAGGACACTACCCAGCAGTGCTTTCGGTGTTCGGACAGTGCAGACTGCTCTGCCTAGCCATGCAAGTGCACCCTGAGGACTGTGTCCAACCTGGTTGTGAGCCTTGTTGGGAGAAACTGTGTAAGGCCAAGTTTCTCGATAAGGAAGTGGTTCTTGTGAGTCCAGCAGGATTATTTGCTCTGTCACCCCAGGAGTCAGTGTGCCAAAGTGGACTTGGCAAGCTGTGGCCTGAGCTGTTGGCATGCTTAGAAAGTCAGACTGCATTCTGTGAAGTCTTACCTAATGTGGGCTCTAATACTGGCAAGCAGCATCCCAGGACTCCCTGCCTAAGAAGAGTAACAGTGGGTGGGAGGGTCTATCAGATTCCTTCCCAATGGAGGAGAATAGAATTGTGATATGTGTTCATTCAGGACAATTTTCTAAAGTAGTTCTTGCAACAGCTCATCCCTCTTTTGGTTCTCTGCACCTTCAAGCTGCCCATGCAGTAAGGGAGCGTGAAAACATTAAAAAACTAGGGCAGGAAGAAGCAGGCATTAGCGATTTCTTCACTGCAGACTGTATTGCCACTGTGCTGGTGTGTGTGAAACACATTCCAGAAAAGGGCTTGGAGCCCTTATTTAAGTCTCCCTATTAGGTCTATCCAACAGTCAGAATCTACAGGCTTGGAAAAGGCAGGTGGGGTAGGGGAGCAAACCTCTCTCAGATGCACCTTGTTTATAAAGAATCTTATAGAGAATGGGCTCTATGTCCCACCAGCAAATCTCCCTTTGAATTCCTGAGACCCAGCAACTTCTACCCTCCCCCACTCTGCAGAATCTGACTTGCCTCTTGGTAGAGTATCATTCCTCACTGAGAAAGGGTTGCCAGACTGGGAGGAGGCAAGTCCCTTACTGCTTTCAAATATTTTTGTTCACGTTTTCATCTTTTTCTATGTGGCTAAGAGAAGGTAGCTACAATGGATCCATAGCAACCAAGTCTTTGAACCCTAGAGGATTTCAGGCCCCTCCTGGCAGAGGAAGCTGTGGGGATTTGTGAGCAACTGCTGTTAAGATACTGCATGTCCCTGGAACTCTTTCACAGAGACTTGTAACATCAGACCAAGGTGCCAGTGGTGGCCAGTCCCCTGAGTCTCACTGGACCATGTCCTGCCCATGAGGCTGGAACACAGAACCAAGCTACTGAGGGCTTCTGCTTTCATAAAGATGTAAGAAAGCAGAGCTGGTAGCCACCCCCAGGTACCCCCAGCCACCCCCATTTCCTTCATTTGCTGAGCCTCCCTTTCTTGAAGTGCCTCATCTCATCCCTTTAACCTCTCTCAATGGGAACATGAACAAACTCATTCCTAGATGTATGTAAACATGGCTGACATTCTGCAACCTGATCTACTCCAAAAATATAGCTGTCTTTGCGGTATGTGCAAAAGCATTTGTGCAGCACAGAAATTGAGGGTGGTCCCAGTAGCCACGCTCTGTTCTGAGAGTCAGCAGAGAGGACTTGCATCTTGAGTCAAATCCTCACCCGGGAGACCTGCCCTCTTGGCCTCAGTTTACCCAATCTAGTCAACAGTGAATAATACTCACTACCCACCTTCCTGGAGACTGTGAAAATTATCTCTGCAATGTGCTTATATCACCTTAGAAAACATTTGCCAAGTAATGTATATGCATTACAGGAAATGCAATGCATCATCATTATCATTAATTTAAACTTGCTGTATGACTTCAGGCAAGCCACTTAAGTTTCCTGGGTCTCAATTTAAATTTCTGTAAAATGGGAAAATGTAAAAACAGAGATCCCCCACAAGGCTTAACTAATTAGTGTTTGCAAGGTACTCTGCCCGATCCTTAGATGAAAGGCGTTTGGAAGATCAGTATCACTGTAAACATTATTATTGACTATTTATTTGCCCTGCTGTGCATGAGGCATTCTACCAAATGCAGAAGGAGTGATAGCCCTTGATGGAGAACATAATAGGTATTATCATTGAACTTGAGTCTATCATGGGTCCAGGCCAGGATAATACTAAGTACAAAGTACTCCTCTAAGGGGACACTAAATAACCTGTTGTCACAGGGTACCATTTTGTGGAACACCTCCCTCAGAGGACTTGATGTGAACCTGGCAGTCTGAAAGAGTTCATTTAACTTCCTGTCCTTGAGCTGTTTAAGTTAAAAGTCTGCCTTGCTCTCAGAGGTTCCTCTAATGAACAAGCTTATCGAGATCTTTTTGTTGGCTCAAAGAGGCCTGGTGCTCCTTGTGCCAATCAGCATGCTGGGGTGGACCAGTAGTCATACTTCATGATGCCAGCCCAACAGAGAAAAAGTAGCCCATTGTGCCTACCTGCCTAAAACTCTCCCAAGCCTATTGTGTAAGAAGAAAGCTTGAGAAATGGCTGTAGGTTTCCACAGCATGCAATTATTTCAAACCAGCAACAAGATCAAAAAACTCTTGGAGGGCCCCTGACTGTATATCCCACCACCTCCTACTCCCTCCCAGACTGCCAGAAAGCCAAAGGAGTTTTGCAAGCTTTTGAGAAAATGATGGGCTCTTGAGTAGCTGGGTCTCCTTTCCCCCTCACTGTTACCCTTTAATAGTATTTCTGTATTAAGATGGGTGGCAAAGCAACACAGCTAAGTACTTGAGAACTTTGGTTCAAAAAACATCAGTATTCAAATCTTGCTGCTGCTCCTCAGTGGTTGTATAATTTGAGTGAGTTGCTTAAACCTTGGGGCCGCCAATTCTCCATCTGTAAATTGGAGGTAATAGTAATACCTGCTTCAGAATGTTGTTGTGAGAAATAAGTAAGATGATTCATGTCAATTAGCTCTTAGCATAGTGACTGGCTCAGATTAAGTACTCAATAAGTGTTAGCTGTTATTGTTATTGAAGTGACTCAACACTTTCCACTCTAAATTACATGCCCTCTTTTACCCCCTTAATTGTTAATTAGGTGTCTTCCAGAGATGGTCCTTGGTACCCTAATTTCTGGCTTGTTTTGTCTCCAAATAACCCATAGCCATGATTCAGCTGCGTGATTCTTCCTGGCAGTTGATTCTAGGAGGAAACTTACTAGCCAACTTCACTTCCCCAAATAGCAAGCTCAAAGCATATGCAGGGCGAGAACCTGATCCCCTTCCCAGCGTCCCTCACTCTTCATTAACTTTTATCATTCCTTTCCTTTGTTTCACACTGTCCCGACACAATCGTTGCCACCCTGGGTCTTGCAGGGCCAGACTTTCTCCCTTCTTTGCCAACCACACACATTCCTGTCTCACTTGCCCTATCTCAGGGAGAACACACCTGCCACCTCCAGCACACAGACCAGGTGGCTGTGTCCCAGAAACTTTTTCAGCTGGTGTTGCAAGTAACCAAGAGGGAAAAATCAGGTCAGAGAGCACTTGGGGGAATTGAGGCTGGGCAGAAACCAGAAGGCATCCAGCCCCATTTCTGAGACTCAGCTGCTATGTCCTATGACAGAGCTGTGACACCAGCAGTGTTTTTTGCTAAATTTGTAAGAGGACTGAAACCATCTGAAGCATCTGAAAACAGCAGGCAGGTGCCACCTGGGTCAAGCAAGGACCACACTAGGCAGGTGGAGGAAGACCTAAAGGCAGGCACTGGGGTAGAGAAGTCAGGAGGTACAGATGGTTCTCCAGCTTCACACACATTTGCAAACCTTTTTAAAAACCACATGGCCCCAAATTGGCCGTGCCCAATGTCTCATGGCATATTTCCTTCCTAGTAATAATTGCCTCCATTTTATTCCCTACTATGATGTTTCAGCATTGTGGTCAAATGGAGCTGGGTTTGTGCTGAGATTCAATTAATCATTAGCTCTGAGGCTTTAGGCAAGTCACTTAATCTCCCTGACCTTTAGTTTCCATATTTGTATAATGAAGATAACAATGGCATACATATATTAATAAGGCTACTATAAGGTTAAACGAGACAATGTCTGTAAAAAGCTTAGTACAAGTGCCTGGTACATAATGGATACTAATAATCGTCAGCAACAGTGAATAACAAAGCAATAACAATAGAGGAGAAAGTCTGCTGGCATTGGGTCTAGAGTTTATTACACCCACGTATAAACACACAGAGGCCTCCATTACAAAATTAAGGAAAGGGAATAGCAAAAGTAAAGGCAATTCTCAAAAAGACCAAAGTACAGTGATGGAAAATAGTGGTTTCCCGTGGTGGCCAGGAGTTACGGGTTCGGAGAGGATGTAATATAAAGGGACAGTATAAGGGAGGTTTATAGAATGATGGAACTACTTTGTAACTTAATTGTGGTGGCAGTTAAGTGAATCTATATATGTGTTAAAATTTTATAGAAATATATACCAG